ACCATAGCAGTGCGGCGTGTAATCTCGGCACGAATGCCTTTGGATCACAGAGCATACGTGAATCTAATGGAAGGCCAATAAGTTCTCCATTCTTTGGTGGTTTTAAGGATGAAGCAAACTTATATTTGCCATAGCAAAGTATAGCATTACCTAGTTTCTTTGTTTTTAGTTGTTTTTCTGAACTACCAATAAATCACATATTTGAGATATTTGCCTCATCGACAATCCCATCACAGAATACGATATTAGAAAATGCATGGCCTTTCTTGAAATTCACATCTGTCCTGTGATCCGAGGGCACTCGTGGAATTGTGGCTTAGTGGTTACCGTGTCGAGATTATGCGCTGTAGTGTCATGGTTCGAGTCCTGCTGGATTGCTAATGAGACCGGTCCAGGCGAGATCGAACCTGCAGTCTTCTCTGAATGATGTTCGAAGGCATATCTTACCAGAAGACGTCGGTTGATTCGCGTTGTACGGCAGACGTTTGGCGTCAACACGACGTTTAGGTTGACACAGTCCACGAGACTTCATATCGTCTATCATATGCTGGACATCATCAAGGCTACAACTCATTCTTGTAAGAGTGTCAAGTTAAAAAAGAAAGAAGATTGGAAGAGATTCGTGGCTTGATCTCACCGGAATACAACAGCCCTATTGCCGTGGTTCTTCTTGATCTAGCGTTAGCTTGAAACCTTGACAAAAGTCTATTCCAGATCCGATGATGTTCATCATGTGATGGACGAAATCTCAGCTCGTTTTCATTTGAAACGAGCGGCGATGTCCCGTGAACTGCGTCAACTTGAACGTCGTATCAAAGCCAAACGGCCGCAGTACAGAGCGAATCAGTCGTCGTCTTCTGACCAGAATGACCAAATGAGTATCATACGACCAGAGGGTGAACCAAAAATGATATCTTAAGACGAATTGAAGTGGACTTACCTCGTTTTCGCAGCATGATCGTGTTGTCAGGGCGGCTTATTTGAGCGCACGTTGTCCGACGTAGTTGTGATAACTACTAGAACAAAGGACTTCGGATAAGGTGTGTCCAAATAAGTCGCCCTAACAACACGACCAAGTTGTGAAAACGAGGTCAGCTCACTTCTGTACATCGAACGGAGACTGCGACCATACCAAAGACCACACCATCCCGGTATTCATACCTTCTATGACGAATAATTGATAATTGCTATTTACGAATGCTATAAGTAAACTTCACGTTTCCATCGAATTTTACATCACCTTGCTTCCCAAAGACTATTCTCACCCCAATTTCGAACCCGCCTGAACTGGTCTCATCATCACTCCCAGCTGGACTAGAGCCAAACTGATGCAGCGGGCCTTACCCAAAATTTACGTCCGTCCTCTTGACTCAAAGACATCTGTTGTTGCATTGCTAAGTGGTTGACGTGGCGAGACGAGACAGAACAGTTCCCGAGCTCGAGTCCCGCTGGGCGTGCTGATGAGACCAGTTGGAAAGAAGCCAAAACTGCAGTCCATTCCAGTACAGGCGAGATGAGAATATCTTTTGGCAAGCAAAACGGAACGGTTGAGGAAAAATTCAACTTCCAATCTAAACATTGTTCCTCTTCACTTGGAAGTCCGGAGATAAGATATGAAAAGCTATCGCCTATCAGCATTGTGCTATGCAGTCTGTGCCGTATACAACACCACAAAATGTGGGATATTGTGTGAAAGCGATCTCTTTGAAGTCGAAATGCTATCCAGCCTCATGGTATGTCACGGTATGGAGCTAGTGATACCAATTTAGGCTTATCAGAAGGAAATATGGCGGCGAATCCGATGAAGAGATGGGAAAAGACGTGCTGAGGACTTAAGCTGGTCTCGGGCTTGAGTTCGCCCTCAGAGAGGGTCGTGCACAACACTTGCAGTGTTGGGTAGGATTCTGAGTCATAGTCAGAAGTAGAGTGTGAATGGAACAGGAGAGTGGGATGAAGTTTTGACAATTAGTAGCCGAAAGTATTAGTAAGTATGGAATGGTGAATGAATACCGGAAAAGTGTTTCTGTACTTTCTTCTTTTGCAAGTGCGGGGCTGTCGAGAGAATTGAATGTTGAATAGAACGCAATAATGTGACATGACTCTCCATTTTAAAGAGAGAGTTAATAATACAAAATTCGTGAAATGATCTCCTCACAAAAATACTAAACTTTTTCTCTTGGTTTAGTGTATTTTGCACTATTTCCTAAAGCATGGATCCTTGTGCTGATGATGTCTGTCGTGCCAGTACAGACAAAAGCTTAGCACAGGCTGGTCGGTGTCACAGAATGGTGAGACGAGGACTTCTTGGACCAGCCAAACCGTCTTCACTCGGCAGCAATCCCTCTTCGGTTCATGATGAGGACATTTTTCTAATTCCTTCCAACTAACTTTTCCTTCGAAATGGAATGACATGCCACAATAGCTTACTAAGGAACTTTTCGAAATCCTGTTTTCATTCATATCTTATAACTCATTAATGACTATTCTCCTCGCACAATTTGGCATTCACCTTAAAACTCACTTTGACAGTTCATTTTCTTTGATTCCCAACGATCCTTGGGCAGCAGACGGTTGCCTATTTTCACACCTGAAAGGAGAAATAAACGTCGACTTAGACTTCTTTAAAATTTAACTTGACTGGAGGGCTAAAAGATGTGGTAAAGGTCGTATAATGTGCATTTCATACCTGCAGACATGAGTTTGAAAGGTAAATTGTACAACGGCCTCGAACTATGGATTCGAACCAAACTCCGACAATAGGCTAATAGTCGGGCTCGAAAATATGTCTTCCTGGCATCGCAATGAGCTGGTATTTATAGACTTTCTATTAAGAAGCCAACATTTCTATGGCTTCGAATCCCATTGGAAGTGAAGATGAGGCCACGGAGCGAATTACGATTCTATAGTATCATGAGGCCTACTTTGATAATTGCGAGCAAAACCCAAAAATTAGTTCCTTAAACATCTCAAGGACTTATTCAAGAATTCATGATAATTTTAAATTATTATCACACCAAATAAGATTCACAATTTGTTAAAAACACAATTTTATAAAAACTGTATAATAATAACAACGTATATTGTTGGGGAGACTTTTACTTTATATGAATGTGAATGTTGAATGGATTCGTTGATTGATCTCACGGGAAAACAAGAGTCGATTCCCATTGATCCATTTTACCCAATCTCAGTCATGATTTTTCTTGAGTATGACTCCTAATCACCCAAATAGGAAGGGGTATGACGGTTAGTTTCGTAACCAGTACAACCAGAGCTAGTTACAACTCGATAAGGCTTTTCCTTAGGCCCTTAAGCCTTGCTGATCCGAGTTTGACGTTAAGTTGTTATAATTGCTCTGATTGAGGACAGGTATTGCGTACGGACGCTAATAACACACATATACACAGACGCACACTTAAGTGATAATACCATGACCAATATGAGAGAGAACTAGCCAAAGCATTATTTATGTATCCAGCTCTACTTTTATTTTTTCGTTTTTAATTATGAATAAATATTAGATGCAAGATAAAGCAGAACAGTCTTTCCGACTTAGTGTTAACTTGAGACTTTTGTTATAGTAAGATACAGCTTTGAAGATGTCTGCAATATGATGAATGAAAGCTCAGTCCGTTGCCACCCAAAACGAGGGAAGATGTCTCGCGGGCTGCGTCAATCTGAAGGTCGTTTTAAAAATCAAATGGCTGTGGAAGAACGAGGCTTGGTCGCCCTTTTCCGTTGAGATCTGCCACTTTCATACAAAATAAAAGTGTCTACAACATTGTTTACTTTTCATATTTTTTTTCGTATCCTACACCTTACAGTCCCAAACCAATATCTCTGGTATATCTCATTGTTCTGATGAACGATTAGCCTCTAAACGAAAGATAAGTATTAAGTGTTATATTCTCATTCATCACCTTAAACGAAATTGGATGAATAGATCTCATATGAAAAATAAGTAATATGAGATGTATTCACACAATTTTATTTAAGGTGATGAAGGACTGATAGAAGAAGAATTTTCCCACAATTATATGAGTTGAGTTGGCGTTATCATTGAATTTCACAAAGACATGCTTTCCCAAAAGTTGTTTTCATCCAGGCACCAGTGGACTGCAGTTTCCACCTCGCATCGGTCTTAGCAACATTGTGGGGAAATTCTTTTTCTACCAGTCCTTCATCACCTCAAACGAAATTGGGTGAATACATCTCATATTACTAATTTACTTGTAGTCACGAAAACAATACCTAACTCGAAAAATGAAATCATTCAACCGAAAATG